TTGGTAAGAGAAACATTACACATTTGTATCTTTGAACATCGTCATTGAAGAATTGGTAACATTTTATCTCAATAGTGAACTTCTTAGTGTGAATAAAACACGTATTCGCCCAAGAATTAATCATTTTGTGTCAATTATATCATCAATATCGAATAATACTTCCAAATGTGTAATGTTTCTCTTACCAAAACTGAATGTATAAGATGCAATTGTATCTTTGCTACTCCTCATTGGTTTCAAGTATTTATCGAAATACAAGAGTAATAGACATATGCAGTGAGTTTTACTATGGTTTTCGTCTATATTTGATTGAGGTTATGATGGCATGTACAAGTCTGTTAAGGGAATGGGTCATAGTCTATTAGATTGTGCTAACTCATTTTTCACAGAACGCATCAATCGTACTAATTGAGAGACAAGACATGAGAATGTCTTTGTCTCCGATAATGGCCAGGACCAAATCATTTTCAAACCAATGATTTTTCGAAAACATCCACAAAATATATATGGAGATGGTCTACCATTGATGGCCTATTTTCATCATACTTTAGGAAAAATAACCGTTAAAAAGACATTTTTCGTTGTCTGAGATATTGTTTAATAGTAACAAATCGTAGCATGCAAAAAAAAAGAAACATTCTTGTTCCATCTTATAGCCTTTCTCATCAAAGTGATGATGCATCAATGTTTAAATATTATAAAAGAAAGGTTGATATGACTGTCAACAGAATTGTTCTGAAAATGAAGTTGACAGCAAAAAAATGTTTAATCTGTATGTGACGTTAGGTTTGCGAGGAATATGTTCGAGATGATAATCTATTCCCAAAATATTTGAATTTCCGACAGTTTCTTGTTTTTTGTTTCAGGCATCTGAAATAAATTAATCGGATTCATTTGTTCAATATGAGAAATAAAGATGTTTACCTTTCGCCAAAGAAATATAAATGACATTAAACAGCAAAAACAAAAGAAGAGAAATACAAAACTACCCAGTATCGATTCGAGTAGTGGAAACAGGAGAATCACAACTAGATAATCAATTATTTGCTAGTTTTCTTTTAGATTACAATTCACTCACCTAAATCGCAGAAAAACAATGAGAGCATTGCAACAGATTGACCCATAGGTCGCATTCCAATTGTAAATACCTCATTGGGATATATGTATGGCAGTGGACCAAGTCCAATGGCAAATAAAGCAATGAAAACTAACATAAGAAAAAGAGTTCCGCCCGCAAATTTAGCTACAATTAAATATGATAAAATGGTTGCAAGTATCAAATTCAAAAAAAAAAGAAAACATACTAGGACTAACTTGAGTGAATACACAAAGCAGTATCATGATAAAGAAAATTAATATAAGTGGATAAAGAATTAGAGAACGTCGACCATGTGACTCAATCAATTTGATTAGTACAATTGTTGCAACCAAATTTGATAGACCTGTAGAGAAAGTACTCCAATAAAATTTGTCCTCGACAAAACCCATGGTTGAGAATGTTTGATTGGAATAGAAAAATACCTAAAAATCAATAAGTCTTTAATTGAATTTTAGTTTTCATCTTTCGCAATACGTACCGAATTGATCCCCGAAAATTGTGCAGCAGCGCTGAGAATCACACTGGTTAATAGTGGCCAACGAAATCGAGAGGAAGTAAATAATCGAAACAATGAAAGATCTGCCATATTTACTGTCGCTTCTTCTCGTTCAATTTCGGTGAGCTCGGCATGAACTTCATTAGTCTTACGAAGAATTTGTAAGGATTGCAGAGCTTCAGCTCGCATCTGCTCTTGCACAAACCATCGTGGACTTTCAGGTAACTTCCAAATCAGAAAACATCCAACCAATGGAAATATACCAACCCATGCCATACCCCAATGCCATTTACTGGTATATGAAGCAGAAATTATTTATATATACGAACCAAACAACTCACTTGTGTTGACCAAGTAGCCAAGGAAAACTGACGATCTGTCCTACAAGAATGCCAATAACGATGAACAATTGATGATATGTCACTACTTTGCCACGCATCATTCGAGGGCTAATTTCAATTAGATAGATTGTTGTTGCTACACAGCTCATTCCTAGAGCATTATTTAAAAATACATTACTTTGATTGAATGAATCAAGGTACATCAACGAGACACCATTCTTTACCTGAAGCCCAACCAGAAAGAAAACGTGATATGTAGAAAAGGATAATGGCCAAATCTTTCATTTGAAGAGCATCTCTAATCGAAATTAGACTTGGTTCACCTTTATCATAGCCGTGATAGATTTCAAGTGGAATAATCATCAGAATTGATGCTGCTACTTGAAAGAGCATATTGACAAAAATCGTATTTCGTCTAAAAATAAAAATGAACAAATCACAAATTTTGGAACTATTGTGTCATAATAAGTGCGAACCTTGTCAAAAATATATACCAATATTGTGTAGTAAAACTACCTACTACAGCTCCTATAACCCAGACGATACCGTGAAGTGAATCAACAAAATTTTGAATGAATTGATGTTGGATTGGTATAGCAGGTAAATAATAGTAACCTGTTTTGTTATACAACGAAATATTCACATAGTTACAATTCCACCACACACGTGCTATCCATCTAGCTGTACTGCTATCCTTTTGACATGGAAATGGATAACCTCGCAACCAAGGGATAATGAACTAAGAACATCAGTAGTGCATAAATAGAATTATGAATAGATTCAAACAACAACTCACCCCATTGTAGAGATTCGGTCCACCAGTATGAACACCCATGACGAAGCTCGTTGAGAACGTCACAACAAGCATTGCCCAAAATAGTGATGATGTCCACTTCTAAGTAAAATAAACGCATATGTGTCGAAAGTCTATATTTTGTGCTATGATGATTTTGAGAATGAGACATCATCTTATATATATTGAAATGTCAACTGAAAGGTTAATATTGCATTATAGGTGAATTTATTCAAAATTTTTGTATGATATTTCATTTGCCCAAATGTAAAATCCGACTAGCTATAATAATTTATAGGTTTTATTTTCATTAGGGCGATAGCATGTTGAAGTTTAATGCCAGCCTTCGTAATGCTTTGTTATCGCTAGTAGTCAAACGATCCCTCAGTAGACAATTCTTGACATTTTTCTGTTAGCAAATAGAACTTCGAGATAATCTGATTAGGAATAGCGACAAACGTTACTCGCAATTTTTATTGTTCATTAACGAGACAATCATGAATACAGTAGATGTTAGATATTGAATCATGCAGATAATTAAATGATCTATCGACAAAGTTCTTTAAAAGCTTGATGATAAGTGTTGATAAATTTCTTCTAGTATAGTGAATCTTGTTATGGATACGTCTCTCATTTCTTCTGACTTGGATCTACTAATTGATCAGAACATCACTTTTTAGAGTTCTGCAAATAATGAAAACGACTGAGTGTGGTATGATATCAAAAAAAACAAAAACTTCTAGAGAAAGATCATTCATAAAATATGGTGGGAAAAGTTATCCTTTCTATTGTGAATCAATGTTTTCTGAAGCTTAAGACTAAACGTTCTGTTAGAATATTTCCGAATATTTATAAGTTAGCTTAGTCTTGAAGTTCAAATTGAAGAACATTCGCATGTGAGTAGACATGAACAAATTTTCAATGTTATATTGAGAAGATACATTGCATGTACTATCGATGCAGCATGATTCAAACAAAATTAATTTTACCTTGAAATCGTTCGAAGATTGTAAATTTTCTGGTGCAACTGTGGAGATCGGCGAAAACACTCTCGGTTGTGTATCTGGAATGAGATTCTGCGTCGACAACAACATTGTCTCTAGACAAAGTACTTTTACGTGTATAAGAGTGAAAATGTCTGTTTTAATGTTTATAAGTGTTGATTGGCCTTATATATACTTGTAATTATCTGAATTTTGAAGCCTTGCAATAGTCTCTATCTATGACGTACTGTCTGATATCATATAAATTCATTCAATGAAATAGCCGTTTTTCTTCTGACCCTATTACATAGTGTATTCAATGGAATGCCACAGAAATCCTATAAACTAACTAATTGCAAAATAAATATATTAGTTTACTCTACAGAGAAAGGAATGCGACGAATTCACTAGAATGTAATTAGAAAAAAATCCTTATAAAAATTTTTCAAGATTAAGTTCAACTAACAAAATGCCCGATTAGATATGCTTTCAAGATTAGAGTGATCTTTTGATTACTGTAAGGAAACCATTGAATGTTTGTGTCATATGTACACGTTTACTTCATCTTATGAATGTTTTTATATGGAAGGTTTCATAGCCAAGACTGAAGAGAATTTTTTCCTAAATAAAATTTGTTTGAGAAGAAGTTCTTGCGTGGCTTCTCCAGGGATCTTTGACATATAAAACTAAATTTTAGAAATTAGCATGTCATCCACAAAAAGAAATGTACAAAACCTATTTTGTTTTTAAAATAAAATTGTTCGAACTTGTATTTGACTTCATACGTTTTCTTGCAAAAATTAGGCTTTTACAAGCACACTAGAACGTATGTTTTCATACATTTATCTTAAAGCAAATTATTACATTCACAAGCAAATGAAAAGACTGTTTAGGTTTGTATCTTGAGGAAAAACAGTCGCTGTATGACGTTAAAGCCTGCTACTATTCAGAAAAACATGAAAGATACTTTTGTGTTCTCACTATACCAAGTACTGCAGTATTACTTATGGAAGGTCTATGAGCGATATTCATCTTTATCTTTTGTACTCATTTTCTTATTCTTATTCTGTAGAATTGATTAGATAAACACTTTATAACTATTTTTTGATTCTTTGTTTTCTCTATTATCGTGGAAAACTTTTCCATGTAACTGAAATACGTTTCATTTAATGAAAATTTAAACATTATTTTTGAAAAACTGAGTGTGTGGATGTGAATGTGAATATAGGTGTCGTTGTTAAGCAGCTGTTTGCGCTCTAATCTCTTATCCAATACCAGCTGTCATATATTAACATGTCGATCAGACGATTTAGTACGTGATCTGGTGAAAAAAAGCATAGCTGGAATTGCCAATCAATGTCGAAATGCACTTTCTAGTTTTTATGAGGCATCAGAAGATAAAAATACGATGAAAATACTTTAAAATAAATTCTCTTTCAAACTGCTTTTTNCTAAATTTCATCGAGCTGGCAGATCATTTTCATGGGTTCTTTTGCATGCTTTTCGAATATGATTAGTTTTAAAAGGTTTTCGTCTTATACATTATCAGAGAAAAAGGCGTCCCAACTCCTCCTCTTTCGATTGACGAAAACCGCAGGTCGCTAGCTATTGCGGTTGTCGAGTTATTGAGCTTATACCCACCCCTATTTAATTCTGGCGCCGACAATAGATGAGAAGAAACATTCGAGTGTGGACATGCGTAGGCCATCAATAGGTAAGCAACCAACAACAAGGCCAGGTAACACGAGTCCAGGAGGACCTATCCTCAGAGGTTCATTACAGTCTTTCGACACGACGCAATTGCACGTGCCATTGGCATATTCACGTGGCACACTTTGCACTAGGTAACTATTGGACACATTTCCGAACTCTAACAGCCAATCAGTATTGAAAGCGGTCGAGAGTAAAATATTGTGCATAAATTCGGCGATCAGGTCATATCCGCGTCGATAATTCACTGGCAGGCGTTTGGTGATTTGATCGCTGATAAAATCCATTCCCGATGCGAAGAAGGCTCGAGACAATGCTGTGGTGCTAACTAGCGTATTTTGCTGAACATTAATCGGGTACGAACTTACAATTGCCTTTGCTTCATCACACAACCAGCCCATAATCTGATGTTGTTTGCTAAGAAGGAGTCGATCAAGTTGCAGATAACTGATTGCTGTAGATCCGAAGCCATAAAAGGATGTTGTCCAGTTCGAAACGATAAACGCACTCGAACACACCTAAGAATCAGAAAACGATTTTAAACCTGGAAACATTTTCACCACTATTCCTGCTGGCTTCGGCAAGTTACCAGAGGTTCACTGAGATATGGTTTTCTATTGTTGCTGTTAGATTTGACTGATGCATCTGAGTCAGCTATGTCAAGACCTCTAAATCAAAACTTTTTGCATCTAGTGTTGAACTGATGAAAAGTTAGGCTGATCTAAATTTTGATTAATCCTCGACTTTCATGTCATGATATCAGAATATATATCCGGAAAACTTAACAACCGATTTTCGGAAGTAAGGCAACAAAACTTTGCGTGAAGTATGTGTAGGTAGATTGTCAATAACTAAATACAACCAGTTATTTCGATATTACATTTCGTGTTCTGGTGAAGTTTTTATTTGACACAAACTAACCAGAAGTGGCCATTGTTGTACCTGAAATAATCTGAGTGTAAAACGTCTTTACGCAAAATATATGCTCAATTTTCTTTCACTTGAAGGTTGCAAAAGTATACATGTCGAACCTGAAAATTGAATTCAACTATTGAAAATTTACTTCAACTATTCAATTATTCAACTATTCAATCATTTAATTATTCCTATTTCTCTATATCAGAGCCAAAAGACTTATTATGATAAGCATTTAGTGTGCTATTAAACTCTAATTAGGGATGAAAAGCCTTGCTTATATTATGGATTGCAAAAGACGACTCTTTTGATCTCCATAAATGACAAGAAAACGTTAATTCAAAGTTTGAGTTCTCTGGCTCGAAACAGAGTGTGAGTGCCTTGAGGTAGATGCAACTGTCTATACCATATCCTGTTCTCTGATTCCACCACTGCACATGGGATAATTACTTATGTCTACTGTACAAACAATCATATAAAGACTATTCGATAATCTGTTAAAATTAGTCTAGTTCAAACTTGAATTGCGCCCCTTTTCTCCGGTAAGGCTATCCCACAGCTGAAACCAATGCTAGATCGAATAGGGTCGGTTGGGAAAGCCAATCGAGTCGGTAAAGACTACACTGTAGAAAAAGGATAGAATAATAAACTTTTACTCTATATACAATGTTACATAAACATTTGAAAGATTTATGAAGATTCTCATACGGCAAAACAAGGGCGCATTATAGATTGTACTTTCGTAAATCCTTTAAGAGTTTATTGTTGCTATAAAAACGAGAATTGCAGATTTTTTTCTTCTGTCATAATGCATCAAAATGTGCACAAGATCGAAATTTCCGAATCACTTGGTTTGAAATTTTCTTGCCAAGACTTCTCGTGTTAAATGTCTCTGGACTAGACTTCGAAATTATTCCATATTATGAGCATCTTTTTCTAAAAATCGAATTTGAAAAATAGTGTAACTTTTTCGCTGATTTTTCAGTCGGCTT